TCATAGCACAGAACTCCCAGGCTCCAAATATCCACCTTTTCATCATGTGTTCTTCCCTCAATCATTTCAGGAGGCAGGTAGTCAAGCGTCCCACAGAGAGTTGTTCTCCTGAAGTCATAGGTTATTATTTACTGATTACAGCAGTTATAAAATCCATTTCAAGAGACAGACAGAAGCTAACGGTGGCAATCACCTGTACATCAATGCAGTCTACCCTGGACAGACTCAGCACCACCAGAATACCTGATAAAGAAGTTTCAGCAGTAAGTTTTCTACTCTTGCTTTAAAGCAAGTCAGTCACTGCATTCACAGTCTTATCATTCCTTTTTTCATCCCGCTCACAAGATCAAATATAGTCTCCCTTTGTCAGGGAGACAGGGAATGAAGGAAATGTCTTAAGTATACCACTAGTGTGATGTTTGAACACAAGTGCTAGTCTGTCATCTCAGGGACCACTATAACCCTACAACAGTACACCAACCTCCTTCACTTGTTCCAGGTTCAGCAAGTTTTGAACTATACAAGCTGAAAAAACAGGGTAACACCACTCCCTCTCTGCTACACCAGTTGACTGTAAAGACCTTTGCTGCAGCGGCCCAGTTCTTAAAGGATTTTTCTGCAGTATTCTAGGAAGTTTGCATTTACCTCCTTCCACAACTGTGTGACAAGCTAACATTTTTACTACAGAAGTATTTCACTGCGTAAGGTATGTATGGCATTCTCACCGAGAAGATGGAGCATGCACAGACCATCCAAAGTCAGCAATTTTTAATTCTCCATTTGAGCCAAGCAGCAAGTTTTCTGGCTTGATGTCTCGGTGAATCACACTCTTTGAATGACAGTATGATAGGGCATCTGCTAGTTCTGTGATGTACTGTATTTAGAAAGAGAACAGATCTTTTCAAGTATAAAGACATTATCACTCTAGCTTATCTGGCTAGAGTATAGCCTTTTCCAGGCATAATTAGTAATTTAAGTTAGCGCAATTATTTCTTAAATCCTCAAAGTCTGACAACGCAGGCTCTGAAGCGACACACACTTGCAATATTAAGCAATGCTGAACATTATTATATCAGTGCTGTGCAGTATTTGTCTTTCCCAACTTAATCCTTGTTACAAGTGCACAAGCAAGCTAGCATCTAAGGAATCTCAGCTTCACACAACAGAATACAGAACTTTATCTGAAAAGCTAGCATTATGCTGCAGATAAGCCAGATAGGAAGACCAAGTAACATATAAGCAGCTGGAACAACCTACAGTAGCAGTTCTTTGCTCATCAAACTTTGTAAGCTTCTGAAGTTCTTTGTAGACTTCTCCACGAGGTGCGTACTCTAGAATAAGGTAGACTCTTGTCACGTCATGGAAGTAGCCGTATAGTCTGAGAATGTTGGGGTGTCTGCAAAAAGATTTAAATATTCTTCTGAACAAGGTATTTGTCCATAACTTTAATTTCCCTTTCCTGCCTGACCCCTTTCAAGGCAAACACAGGAACTTCAACATTTTGCTAAGGGTTCCTTCAGCTCACAACATATCCATTGAGAGCTTCATAGCAGAAACATGGTATTTATCAAAGCAGCAGCTTGGACTCCCTATTAGCAAGCAGTTAGCCAAGAGTTTGGCTAGTCCGTATCTTCTTGGACATACCTTTCTACAGCAGCTAGAAAAGGATATTACCATTGGTGCCAACTCCTGTGGGTTTTGGAATTTAAGCTTAAACATTTTAAACACTTTCTGTGAAACAACTAGTTTCTTCAGCAAGTTGGGCTTGTTTTCCAGGAAACAGAATACCAGAAACAAGCCCAGACTCTTGAGAAATTGCAGTTACCCACATAAATCCAAGCAGCAGACAAGGGTGGGGTTTTTTTTGGTAAAAGGAAGATTTGTTAGCAGAAGTTACTTCATTGCAAGCTAGACAAAGGTAAAACTTGGTGCAGAAAGGCAAGAATCTTAACTAGCAACTTCAAGCTGTCACATACTTAAAAAGAAACTTCTCTTCAACAGGGTATGTTACCATAAACAAGGTTATGTTGTTTATCTGAACACAAACAAAGCAAGGAGTGTAACTGGTCACTAAACTTTACCTAAGATGAGACTGTATTTCAACTTCTCTTCGTAGTTGATGTTCTACACCAGCTTCTTCAAGTTGTGTTTTAAAAAGCACTTTCAGTGCAAGAATAAATTTACTCTGCTTTTCACGTGCCAGGTACACATTTCCAAATTTTC